AAAAGGAAACTATGATCATTTTACATTATTCCTTTATAATGGCATACAATTATACAAAACATATTATATAAATATACATAATATATGTATGTGTGTGTGTTTAACACTATTTATAACTTTCAATTCGAATACTTTATAAACGATGACCTTAAGATAGCAGTTTTTGTTTTTTTTTTCTCGATTATTGTAAAATTGCTTTAAAAGTAATTTGAAAAGTTTTTTAAAAAACTTTTTTTTTTTTGTTAAATTTTGTGCTTATGAACACTAGAAAAAAAATCTAGTCCTCCAGTAACTATTTTGCGCATAAGGATAGAAAACAAAATTTCATAATTCTTTAGGAAAAAAATATTTCAAATATATACAGTGGAAGAAATTTTAAAGAACACGACCAAAAAATTTGGAACTGTAGAAATGCTCGCATATAAGAACCTATTGTACCTTCCGTCAAGGTATAGCATGAACCACTACAAGACTCCCCGAAACCCACCCCGTTGATGGATCCCAGTAACTTAAGATAGGTTTAGCTAACCGTACCTCCACCGGTATAAGTACATAATACCCCAGTATTTCCCTTCTCTTACAGGTGAAGGTCCTATAATCTCTCGGAAAGTGCACCAAGCCTTCCTTATTCTCTCTCCAATTTTATCATACAATGATTTTCACTTCTAAAATAACGTAACGAAAGAACGTTAACTTGTGTAGGAGAGAAAGTAAGAGAAAAACTTAGTATTCTTTCGTTTATAAAAACAAATATAATCTTATATTTGAATTTTAATACTCTCAAATTAATAACACTTCCACCTACACAGTTTCATTGCTATTGTAAAGAAAAGCGAAAAGAATAAATAAAAGCTGTCATTTAATTTTGTAATAAATTTTTGCCACAAACTTTTTTAAAAAAAAATTCACCTTTTTTTATCGGATTTAAGTTTTTTCCATTAAAAAAAAATTAATTTTAGTATTCACCATAAGAAGAAGATAAGAGCAAAATCATTATTTAGAATACATCAAAAACCAAAGCTTTTACCTGTAACGGGTTATGAAAATAGCTTATGCCATTTATCTTTCCACAAATACGCTCAATACTTCACTGTATATACTTTCTTTATTAAATTGGAAAATATGGGTTAAACTTTTCTCAAAAAAAAAAAAAATTTTTTTAAAAAAAAGTTTGTCAGCTGTAATGCAATTTTACTTACAATTGAGTTTAAAAATATTTTTATAGTAAACGATTGAGACATAAAAATAAAAAACAAAAAAAAATTGTAGAAAAAGGGTAAGAAGTGAACAAAGAAAAAATTAAAAACTATGAGTAATTTTTCTTCTTTTTTTTTTAATATTTTGTTTTCGTGAATGAGAAATTAATTTTTACTTCATACTTCTTTTCTAAAAAAAAATCTCTTGAGAAAACTTTCATTTATAAAAACTTAAAAAATTTTTTATATGCTTCACCTTTCACCATTTTGTAAATGAAAACTTCTTCAACGAAAAAATTTTCTTTGACAATAACGAAAATATTAAAGACACATAAGCAAAAAAGCAGTATAAATTTAAAAGTCCCCATTGAATTTTTAAAATTCTAAATATTTTTCCAGATAAAACGTAAACAGGTTAAAAATAAAGAAAAAAAAATGAGTTTTCCTTCTATTTTTAGTTTATTTACGACTATGAATTTTCTCCATTTATTATGGGATAAACTCAAAAATATCTAGTTATACGAGTAGAAGAAAATAATTTTAATTCCTAAAAATTTTTGAATTTTTCACAAAATACCTAAAAAATTTAACTTACGGCAAACTTGAGTTTAAGAGTAAACAACTATAGCTTTTTTATAGCGTTGATTGCGCGCCGTCATGACACGAGAACTATAGAAAATTCAAATACATTTTTATCTACTTAGATTACAATCGCTAGAATATCAGGGAGAGAAAAATATAAACAAATTCCAAAACAAAAACATTAAAGATCTATAAATAAAACCGTACCATAACTAATTTCTTTTTAAAAAAAATTTAATGGACTGAAACCATCATTGCCAAAAAAAAAAAAAAAAGAAAACTGAAATGAAGAAAACAAAAGGGGCAAATATACTCGTAATGTGCTAAAAATCCGAGAAACTTGTATTAATTATTTACATTCACTCATACTATTTACCCTATTCATATAAGAAAAGCAATTATTTCTATTTTTAAATGACAGTGTTTCTAAAACTTTCAAAATAATTTGAGACTATTCATTTTTATTTCAAATTTAATTTTCGAATTTCAAAAAATTATTTAATTTTATTGTACTTTTTCCAAAATTTCTGTAAAATCTCTTGAAAAAAAATTCAAATTAGAATGGAATTATTGACTCAAACCTAGTCATCGAACAGATTGCTAACTATTAAATTCAAATACTCTGAACAGTCAACATATTTTTTCCTAAATATTTTTAGAAAACAGAATATTTGGGAAAGAAAAAGACAATATAATTTACACCGAACATTGGCAGGCTTTTGTGAGTTATGGACAAATATATAATATATGAGTACGAGTAGGTTCCAATCGTATTTTTTACAGAAAAATGTACCTATATCTATAAACTGTAATTGAGTTAATAAAATTTTTATTTGAAAAATTTTAATAGTCCCCATCGAATATATATTTTTTTTTTGCAAGTAGAATGATGGACCGCATTTTTCCGACAGCTGATTTATACTATTAATATTATCTATGCATAAAATCTTGAATTGTATTTAATAGTTACCAAATTTAAAGAAAAACACTCAACATTACAAATTTATATGTATGTAATTTTTATAAAAATCCACAAATTAATAGTTACCTATAACTTTAACTTTTGTTCTTCTGACACATTTTTCTATGCATTTTTATGTAAATTATTCGTTCAATGTTGTTTTTCAAAGGTACAATTAATTTTGGATGATCGATATAATATCAACAAAATGTATGATTTCAACAACAATAGCGACTCATCAATGACATAACATTTATTAAATTTTAATAATTTGAATAAAATATTGTTCGGGCGCCAATCTCTCTATATTATAGAGAAATTGACAAACCAAAGTATGTTGATTTGACATTATCAAATGTAATGAATAACGTGTGAATTTATTAAAATAAAAAAACAAAAATGCAAAAAAACTTAACTGTTATACATTTTACGACATTTTACTACAACCTAATGTAACGACAAACAGTTTGAGAAGCAGTGCTGTACTAATAAATTAATGTGAAAGTTTTGAAACAAAAATTTATTTTCAAGTTAAAATTCTATTTAAAAATTTTTTTTTTTTTTGCTTTGTTTTTTTTTTAATGCACCATTAGGAAAGATATGAGCCTTTTCATATACGTACGGTTTTAGTTTAAGAGAAAAATAACGCTAAAAATTTAACAGAATCTTTAAAACAAAATTTATATTATGCGCGTCTCATATAAAAACTATTATAAAAATTTTATAGTCTTGCATTATTGTTGTGTTAAATTTAGTAGATGTGTGAGTACAATGACATTTTACTGATGCTCATATACTATGTTCTATAAAGCTAAAGAAGAAACTGTGATCTTTAATTAATTTTTCCTTTTGCGACAGTATTGTGACAATTCTCGAAATAAATCTCTTGTTAACCGTAGAAGAATCAAAAATATCATTGATTGGAGAACAAGTTTAATCCTTCTATAACATAAACTTCAAATTTAGTATATAAACATAAATTAGACTATCTAATTAAAACATTATATCAAAATTTGTTATTCTTAATCCTTAGTACATTTGCAACAAATTTCCATATAGAATTCATGCAAGTAAAAATGGACGTATTCTTAAATAATTTTAATTTCTTTCTACACAATTAATTTAGTTAAATTTAATAAATTATTTGTAAAGAATAATACGAGTATTATACAAAAAGCTTTAATATGGTGAATAATATATTTCGAAATAAATAGAGTAATAAAAAAAAAATCATATTATTGAATTTGATATTTATCTAATGGAAATATATTATACAAAATGTTTAATCATAGAATTAACATTAATGGTGATCTTATATACTTAGGAAAATATAGTTGATGCCACGTTTTGCTGATCCAACGAAAATTATTGAAATTTCCTTAAAATAATCTATATAGTAAATTATAAGATTATTACGCTTCCTTATATAAGACTCTTATTCATTGTTTAACAATTTGCTGTGATAAAAATTTCAGTGGTCTCAAAAAATACAATTTTAATGTCATGTTTATTTTCGTTTAGCACCAAGTTAATTCAAAGTTTATATAAAAAATCATAGTAAATAATTGTTCATTGTTTTAATTTGAAATTTTGACAATAATCGACCAGAAATCGAAAACACGACATTTAAGTTAAAATGTTTAACTATTTATAAACTGATTACCTTTGAATTGAACTTGTTAACTCTGGTCTAGTACCCACGTAAATTTACCCTACTCACCTTAAAAAATAAAAAAATATAATTTAAATTGTTATTTAGAGAATACATAGAAAATAGTTTTCCGATAGCGGCATATTCATCAACATGGAATATATAATTTTGTATAACAGTTGATATAAATCAGTTGATTTTGTCTTCAAGTTCGTTTCCAAACTATCCTATTTTGTTCTATTTACTCATAAGGGGCTATTTTCTTAAAATAATTTTAATAATAAGTGACAAAATATTTTCTTAATAGAAATTTTATAACAATTTTTGTCTTGCTTTTAAATAAATTTTTAAAATAATCTCCTACGGGACCCTTAACTCTTATATGTACATAATATTGTATCGTTTCACTATAAGAACAATTTCATTATATATATATTTTTATATTATAATGTAAATCTACATTTAAACTTTCTTTCTAAAGCATTCAGTTAATTAAGAATGATTTTTATTTTATAGCTTATTATAATAATTTTCAGATTATTCTAATTAAATTCTATACCATCTCATTCTTATACTAAAAAAAAAAAAACCAATTTTAATAAAATTTCAGATTTTCAGCAAAAGTATTAACATCACTTTGTCAGCAAATTGAAAATATACCTTTAGCTGGTGTTGTTGTTATAGGTGATGGTCAATCAGCACGTGCAATAGCTTTATCTGGTAATGCTATGCAAGTACCTGTATTATGGGCTAGAGGTGGAACAGCAAATATTCATGGTATTCAAAGAGAGGTAATCAATATTGATCGTTTTTATATTAAATACACAAAAAAAAACCAAATAGTTGAAAATATAGGTTGAATTTCATTTTCAAAGGATAACTTGTATATTATAAGAATATATATATATATATGTATATATATATATATATATATATATTGTATAAAGAGTATAATAGTTCCCAATATTGAATAAAAATATATTATAATCATAGAAATTTAAATAAAAATCTAATATTATGAAAAAAACCATATTGAAAATGAAAAGTTTTCCATTTTTTTTCTTCTATGTCCTAATTTTCGATTCCTTATATCAGATGTTCAAAGAACACTTAACTTGACATGATTATTATGAATATATAATAAATGTAGGAATATACAAGAAACCCGAAAAAGGTTTTTTTTTTTTATTGTATATATATACAAAAACATTACAATAAATTAAAAATGAAATTCTTATATTTTCTCAAAAAAATTTTTTTAGTGAGTGTTTTTCTTTGAAAATATTAAAGAAAATATTTTATTTAACAAGTATTACAAGTTGTTTGATTAAATTTCTTGCAAAATGTGTCATGGGGCTCTTTGTACTTTATATTTTTGAGAATATTGCAAATAACAAAAAATACCCCTATGTATGTAGTGTCGCACATTGTGGCAGTCATTCGTCATTATTCTCTGTTAACAAATTATTTTTCTTCAAAATCCTATAAATATGCAATTTTTACTAATAATTTATAATTTAGTTTGCTGATTCTAAGAATCTCCAAATTTAATATGAAATTAAAATTTAAATTAATTTTTTTTATAAAAAACACAAACTCATTAAATTTATTAATTGTTCCACTTTTTGTTTAGTTGCAATTTAATTAATTGTTAATCAATTAAATCCGAACACGTTTTCATTATATTTTTTTCATATTCTCATTTTATTCTACTAAATATTGCATACTAATTTAACATATATTAATACGTACATGATATTATTTTCACAATAATATCACCCTGTCTTATAATCATTGAATAAAAATGTTGAATAATTTATATGTTAACACTATAACCAAACCTACAAAAAGAAAAAATTACAAAGCAACAAAAAAAAAAGACCAAATAAAATAAATAAAAACAAATTAAATGAATATTTTATTCTACATAATATGTATGTATATATATACATATGTATTCTATTTTCATTATCATATAAAATATACCTATACATATACTATATTTTCTTTTATATTTAATATAGGCTCAATCCGCACTACAATCTATGTTACAACCATCAGCTAGAGAAATTTTGAAAGCAATACGAGCATTATTTTTACAAGTAAGTACCATTCATAACACTTATACAATGATGTAAGTACATATATACATACAATATATATTACATATAGTTACATATACATATATAAGTTTATATTATAGTATATATAAGTTTATATTATTGTTTAATGATGTTCCTTGTAAATATTCATGTTGATTTTGTATTATTTTGACACATGTCCATATTTACAAGTACATATAGTATATAATATACTATATAAATATTATAGTTATATAATATAATATTATATAGAACAATATAATTCTTTAAAAACAAGTGGCTAAGGATAACAATAATTGTCTAACGTCAGGACAAGAGACTTAAACTTAATACATGTGTGTATGTCTGTCTATATAGAAAAATAGTATCAAAATGTTTGCAAATACTTGAATACATATATATATATATACATATATAACACATAACCATATATATAATATAGTAAATATTATATACGATATTTTGTATGGTGTCATCATAAATAATGAAACGGAGTGAGGGGTTAATTGTATCGTTGAATTAATGATTGTTCTATGTGGTCAAATAAAATGAGATAGGAAATAAAAATTTTTATATAGAATAAGTAATATAATATGTACTTCTATGTTTGTATATATATATATACTGTAAATAATAATATAAATTGTTATAAATTTATATTTATTTGAAATAATAATAAAAATAAATGCATGAATATTATGTTGTATATATAAGAGAATATAAGAAATTAATAAAGAAATGGGGGAAAACAAAATCGAAATGAAAGCCTTTAAGAGAAGTTATTTTTTGACCACTTTCTCTTACAAATTCCATTTTATCCTCCTTTTAATTAAGAAAAAAGAAACTCTGACAAGATTCTATATTTTTTCTCTTTAAGTTGTTTCTCATTCTCAGATAATTTTTACATTATGTAAAAAGGGTAATGTTTTAATAAGAATAAAATATTTTTCTTTTCCTCTTATATTTCGTTAGAATTTCCATTTTTTTCATTAGTACATTGTCCTTTGTTAATTTTATAAATTTTTTCATAAAGGTTATACAACTATAGTATTGATTTTCTGGGGTAAAATAAAAATGTCTCTTTTATTTTTTCTTGTGCATGGTTTGAATATACAATTGAATGCTTAATATCAGTATATGGAGGCGTATTATGTCTTCTTTAATTAGAATTTATTTCAACTATTATAATATAGATTTTACATTGAATCAACATATACATATATGTATAATTATATTTCAAACCTATAATATTTGCAAATAATAAGGAAGGTAAAAACGTAAGTGTAGCAAATAAAAAAAAAAATTGTTATTCCAAGAATTCATTTAAAAATCTTTCTATTCGACATAAAAATTTTGTTATAAAAAATTAATTTTTATTATTATTGTTATACATTTAGTATATGAATTTCATTAAAAGTATATTTTTATTCCTATATTAAAATTATGATTTTAATACAAAAATTAAATTGACCTATAAAATATAGCAATTATATATTAAGGATTCTTTCCATATTATTGCGTTTAATATAAGCAATTAAAAATTGTATATAAAAAAAAATTATACAAAACTAGCCATAACAATTCGGAAATGAAATTTTCATTTTATCTTAAAATCCTTATAATTTTTATTCTATTACGACATCGTAGATCCAAAATTTTATAATTTCCTAAAAATGGAAGGAAAACAAAATTAAATCTATGATGAAAATCACTTATATAAAAAAATTACGGTTGAAGAACAATTTGCGCAGTATTTGATTCGTATTGCTTTTAATTTTATAAAATATTAAAATGAACACGCAAATTTTTCCTCAATATAATTAGTTAATTCTATATTCAGTATTCTGTTTTCGAATGCTATACTTTATTTACTACTACTGAATACAATATACTTAAAGAATTCATAATATACTGAAAACAGCTTTTGAAAATAATGACTCTTACGGCTTTTTGAATTTAATATATTTTTTTCTGAATAAGAATTGACAATTTTCAGAATTTATATTTTAATGGAATTTAATGAATGAGTAAGATAATAAGTTGACAACACTATGAGTGAAATGAGAGGAATTTGAAATGAATAGGTCACATATGAAAGAAATATTAATATAATTCCTAATTTGATATCTGCTATATTAAAAGTATGAAATTACTTAAATAATATTACATAAAATTTAAGTTTGCGCAAATGCCTTTGAATTATTTATAAACGATTTTATTAAAAAATTATGGAAAATTTGAATTTTTAAAATAATTTTCATTGCCTATTAAATTATCATGGATCATAAGATCCAAAGAATACAATTTTATTAAGAAAATTCTAAAACACACCATCAACAACTACTAAACACGTCATAATATTATTTAAGAATTAAGATTTACAGTTCACGATCCCAACTAGTACTTTAATTGGACTTTATTTTAATAATTCTTCATGAATATTTGAGTTTTATTCAAAATAGAGAATTCATTTCAAAAACTCATGGCAGAATTCAAATATTATTTAAAATTTAAAATTAAAAATATTGCAAATTATATCTTTCATCTTGAATGTGTGATGCACGTAGGAATAGACACTAATATTAATATAAATATTGTAAAGTAAATCGCCTGAAATAATGTACATTTCTATAGAATGCCAAGAATATTTACAAAACTTTATTTAAATTACTCGATTTTCTGTTGATATTTAATAAAAATTTCTCCTAAAACTTAATTATATTCATATAGAATAAGGAAAAAAAAAATTGAAAAATATGGCATAATATTCTATATTTTTAATCTATTTCCCTACGGGTTCAAAAATATAAGCATACAATGAATTTATTTACGAAATACTCATTTCATTTTTAGTAATATTTATAGTTTTATATTTATATATAATTTTTTATACTATATATATAAATGTGTATGTAAATACATTATTTTTACTATATTATTATTGGAGTAGAATAATGTTTAATTATTTTTAAATGATCATTTGTTACAATAGCATATTATAATTATTCTCAACGGTCCTGATTGATTCTCTCTCTCTCTCTCTTTATAACTGAATATTTTTCTATTTCTTATATTATACAACTATACAAAAAATAATATTTTATTCTATAAAATTTGAAAATAATATAAATTGTATATGGTATATATATTATATTTAATTTCTAAGAAATCCTTGAATTTATGCTGATTATAACAATATTATAATATAATGAAAATTATATACATATACAGATTTACTTGTGTTTATTTTTTATTTACATATACGTAAATTTATCTTAATAGGTTAAATATATAAAAATAATAATAAAGAGTAAAAGAAAAAGAAAATATAACATACACTCAATATTATTATTCTATAAGTATGCTATATAGAAAGTAAAACAAAAAACAGAACGGAAAATAGAAAATGAAAAATCAAAATGAAGAGATATCCTTACTGTTATGTAACGATTTAAGGATTTTCTTGAAGTATGTCATATAAATAAAATACGTTATTAATGATAAAAATGAAGAACAAAAAATAATAAAAAGAAAGTAGATTTTTCCTCTTACTTATTTATTATTATTATTATTTGCTATTTTACTTGTTTTTCTTCTTCTTTTTTTTCTTGTTTGTAATATAATATAGAAACGAAAAAGAAGGATAAAACTATATGTTCTTTATATGTAAAGTATGAAGTATTTATTTATTTATTTTTTGTTTTTTTATTTTCTGTCTTGCAAAAAAAACAAAATATATCTAGACTTTGTCATTAAATTAAAAAATGCCAATATAGAAGACAAAAAAAGAAAATTCCAATAATAAGCATACAATCTACGTCCTTGTTAGCCTGAATACAGAGAGCATGTTAATTAATTTGCTATTACGCTAACAAAAACCTTAAAAAAAATATTAAATAATTTCCTGTAAACTAAATTTTAAATATAATTCTCTTAGCAATATACTCTAATATTTAATTTCGTATTTAATACTCGTAAGTATTGGTGGGGAGCAAGTTTTAAATGGAAAAATAAATTAAATAACAATAATTTAAAAATAATTTTAGTCTAAAGAATAATTAAAGACCAACTAGCTATTTCAAATGACTCTTTTTTTTTTTATTTGAAGAAAATTTTTAAAGTAAAATATTTAAATTCACAAAAATAATAATATGTTTTTGGAATGTTTGATTTTTGAAGCGAACATGTTCGATGCAACATTTTTATTAAGATATATGTTTGAATTTGAACCATCCAATATAAATAGTATGATGATCTGTTAATATTGATAATCGTTGTGATATACAGCACCTTATTGTTATGTTTTAATTCGAAATTTAAATAATTTATTATCACTCCCGTATTTATTATATAAGATTCAAGGTAAATCATAAAAAATTACTTAAAATTCCAAGAAAACAAAGATAATATGAAACTTACAATTGTTATGAATATGTTCTTCTAATAATTAATAACATATAATGCTAAAAATCTGTGGCAACAATCAGTGAAATCAGTCAGAAAATAAAAGTCCTATACGGATTTTTAATATTTTTCCTAATTTAACACTAGTACGTTTTGTATAATGAATTTTGTATAATTTTAGCAAAATTCCTAATTCTAAATAGTTCTTTAATTCCATATTTTCAAAATTACATTTTGCATGGCTTCATGCATCTCATTTCCAACTCAGTTATTTTTGACTGAAACAAAGTTTAATTAAATAAAATTTTTTATTACACAGTCTTCGAATTCAGAAGATAGTATGAGCTGAATTTTTATGTCGAATTAAAATTAAATTTTCGAACCCATTCAAGTTGTAAGAGTTAAACATAATAAATTACAAAGTGTAGACCTCATTTCTTTTAAAAAAATTTCTGATATTCTTTATTCTGAAACATTGTAGTTTCTGGCCCGTATATTCAAAATATATGTGTATATAAACATGGTATATGTATAATAAAAATGATGATAATGTAAAAGAAATTCATGAATAAAAAAGAGAAGAAAAAAAAAAGAAAAAAAACTATAATATGTAAAAAAAATTTACTTACATGTTATATATAAAAGAATTTTCTTTCATTCTTTCTTAAGCACGTGTTGCAAATTAATTCCAAGATATAGATCAAAAATTTTCTGCTCTTTAGTAAAACACACATAATGATATTATATACATATACTTTGTTATATATACGTACATTGATACATATTTTATGTCATCATATCTTATATACTTATTTGTCATCTTTAAAATTTCAAAAGATTTATGAATTTCATAAAATAAAAGTATAAATTTATTTTTCATATAAAAATAAAATGTTTGATAAAATTGGATTTAAATGAAAAGATTTTTCAATGTAAACGAGCTATTTTTTGATATGAAAACTTCAAAATAAAAAAAAACGAGAAAAAAAATAGAGTTGACCTTGTCAACTCTGTGATACCCGTACGAATTTGTTATCCTATGTGCGAATAACTAATGTGCCATAACTAACTATGGGGCAGACTATGACTTTAAGTTGCCGTATTACCATATTAATTTATGCAAAATTTCAGTACTATGTGTTATTCAAAATACTGGTTGTGCCAAACTACTATTGATGTTGTATGGCAGCTACCAGAAAGAGCCAAGAAATTTTAGCGAATTTTATCAAGCACATCGGCCCTACTAATATATTCACTTGTGTGAAATCTCAATATCACAGCTTTTATAGTTTCTGAGATATAGTCAAATAACTTTTGAAGTTGTATGGCAGGTACCAGAAGGAGCCAAGTAATTTCAACGACTTTTATGAGACACATTGGCCCTACTAATATATTCGTTTGTGTGAAATTTCAATACCATAGCTTTAATAGTTTCTCAAATATAGTCAAATAACTTTTGAAGTTGTATGGCAGGTACCAGAAGGAGCCAAGTAATTTCAACGACTTTTATGAGACACATTGGCCCTACTAATATATTCGTTTGTGTGAAATTTCAATACCATAGCTTTAATAGTTTCTCAAATATAGTCAAATAACTTTTGAAGTTGTATGGCAGGTACCAGAAGGAGCCAAGTAATTTCACTTGGCTCCTTCTGGTACCACATCGGCCTTACGAGACACATCGGCCCTACTAATATATTCACTTGTGTGAAATCTCAATATCACAGCTTTTATAGTTTCTGAGATATAGCCAAATAACTTTTGAAGTTGTATGGCAGGTACCAGAAGGAGCCAAGTAATTTCAACGACTTTTATGTGACACATTGGCCCTACTAATATATTCGTTTGTGTGAAATTTCATTACCATAGCTTTACTAGTTTCTGAAATATAGCCAAATAATTTTGGAAGTTGTATGGCAGGTACCAGAAGGAGCCAAGTAATTTCAACGACTTTTATGTGACACATTGGCCCTACTAATATATTCGTTTGTGCGAAATTTCAATACCATAACTTTTATAGTTTCTGAGATATAGCCAAATAAATTTTGAAGTTGTATGGCAGCTACCCGAACCGGTACCCCGATCATGTCCAATTTAAATAGGGTTCTGGCACTTACTACAATAAATCATTTGTGAAAATTTGGTGAACTTAGCTCAATTAGTTTTTGAGTTATCGTTCGGACGGACGGACGGACGGACGGACGGACGGACAGACAAAGCTAAATCAACTCAGAATTTGTCGCTGATCAAAAACATACACTTGAGTCTATATCTAACACCGTTATTTCTTAGCGTTACAAACGGTAAGGCAAATTTAGTATACCCTTCGAACATACGTTCGTACGGGTATAAAAACAGAGAACGAGAATAAAAAGAAAGTAATTCATTATAGTGTAAAAAAATTTCATGTTCAGAAGATTTTTTTTCAAAGTAGACATTTAAAATATGTAAGAAATTTTAATGCTTTTGATCAAAAGTTAATGCAGCAGCTAAGATAGAATAATCCAAGATAATAAAATACACAGGTCGTTTGCCTTCCAATTTCTATATATATCCTTACATAAACCATTATGAATAGATCAAAATTTCATTGCGTTAATGTCAGCTGCTCAATAGATTTCACTAACATTAAAGCTGCTTACATATTTCAAAACACTGCGCATTAAGAATCACTTTCAATTTTCCTTAATTTGTAGTCTTTTTCAGCAAATTTGAAATTACAATTTTATTATAAAGCAAAAAGCATTGATTAATTTTTATTAATTTTTAAATATTTTTGTTTTTTTTAATATTCAATTTCAGACACATTGGCATTCTTTTTTTGTTTTGGCTGATGTTGATGCAGCAATGGTATTAGCTGGTAATGATGGACGTACATTAAAAGATCCACCATTGCTGCCAACAATACTTCCTTTGCCAGCTGGTGATGGTGATGTGTTCAGGTATGAAATGAATAAAAAAAAAATTCAATTTTTTTTTTTTTTTAAATTATTTTGATTATGGGGTCAAAGGAAACACATTTTGAGTATTATTGAATTTCAAATTTTAATATTTTTCAAATTATTTTATTTTTGAATTTCTTGTTGCAAGCAATAGTCCCTATGTTGTCTTGATTAGCAATTAAATGCGGAAATCAAGTAACATTATTTCTCTTAACTAAGTTCTCATAACAGTGTCATTCATCAGGTTTATCCCCCAATATTTCCAATTGATAAAAAATTTTTTAGTAATTTTTTTAATTTTATAGAATAAAGTAACAAAATCGCTCTTCCAATCATAATTTATTTTGTGGTTTCTCTTAAAAACCATGAAACGCGCAAATAAAATAAAATATGTTTTAAAAATCTTCCAAACGATTTAGTGTTGCCCTCTCCAGCAGGATGTTTTCTTCTGATCACAAAATTAAAAGTTATCCAATCATTTTTTTTAACTTTTTTTTGTTTTTGTTTTAATCGTTTTTGTTTGTTCCCTTAACAAAAAATTAGACGATATTATAAACACCATTTCCATGTAATGAGAAATAAAATTAAATTTAGTTTTGATTATATACGTTCTGCTTGTTACCCTCGTCGTTTTCCTTGCCATTGCTTTAAAGAAAAAAAAAAATGAAAAGAAAAAAAGGCAAATTAACAAATCACTGCAATGTACAAAGGGAAATCTCTGATGTGAACTTTTAAAAGTACATGAAAAATAAGAAGGGAAAATTCGACAAGGAAAAGCTGTTTAAAATCAAAAAGGCAAAATGAAAAAAAAAAATATCCTCATCGATAAATAATTGAGCAGTTTATTCATGTTAAAATTGGCAATTTGAACGAGAATAAGCTGCTCAACATCCCTCCACCCCCCCCCCCCTACCCCTCCCTTTCCTCCTGTTCTCCACAATTTTTTTTTACACTGGAATCTTATTCCATTACAATACGTCATGTTAGTCTCTTATATTCTCCACAAAAATTTTTTGCAAATTTTGTTTTGAAAAAAATTTCCACTCTTAATCCTATGGAAAATTCAGTCAATTTACTAAACGCCTTACCAATTTATAAAAAGATTTTTATCTGTTTTCACTCGCAATTACTTTTAAAGAAGCAAAACAAGTGAGACCAAAAGAAAACAAAAAATTTTTGTATGCATAAGAAGATTGAAAATCTTCAAATCGCTTTATAGAAAATTAGTGGCCTCTGATATAAGAAGAAGAATAGAATATTGAGAAAGCAAATATTTTCTTTCGTCTTTAAATTTTAAATTTTAAAATATGAAAATGTCTATAGAGCACGGAATGAGAATAACAAGTAAGTATTGAATACATATTACATATTTAAGTGGCATATATACATTATATGTTTATACGTTCTTCTCAGATATCGTATATAATTTGTGATCTTAGAGAAAAACAACAATAAAAATATAAAGAAAGAGAATGAAACTTAAACTATTGTCACATTTTTCAATAAATTTTTATTAAAATGAAAATGAAGAGAAGACAAATTATTGCTGCAATTTAAAAGAAAAGAAGAAAAAAAAGTTTTAATAAATTTTTTGTGATGCAGGAAATCATTGATGATTTATGACTGAAACGTGAAAGATTGCTCTTAAAGTGTCAAACATTTATAAAACCAATTCCCTTCTACATAAACAGTAATTTGTCTTGAAGAATTTATGAATCTTTATAATTTTGTTTTTTGTTTTTTTATTCTCCACATATTAAAAAATTATGTTATAGGTTCTTTATGAAATGAGAATTCCTTGTAAAGAACAAAACAGCTGCAGGAAAACTTAGAATCATCTTTTTAATCTTGGGATTTCAAGTAATGTAATGAATAGATAAAAAAGCCACGGGATTAAGTTTCAATGATCTGTATATCATTTTTATTTACATCGGGTGAAAAGAAAGGAAATGAGTGAATCATAAAAATGGGGCTTACTTTGAGTCCCTAAGTGGTGAATCATAATTTCCGTATAAAGTTCGATATTATTATTTTGAGCACGAACCAGTTCATACATTCAGATTGATGTCTATTATAAAGTTTTTGAAACTTTTACGATAAATATCAGTATAGCTAAGTGATTCGATACTCAGAATAAGCTAAAATATTTAATATATGTTAAGATATATATCGTAAAAAATTTTGAAAATTTATTATAGACACAAATCATTTATACAAATTGGTTTGTTCTTACAATAATATCTGATATTTTAACTTTCTTTAAAACTATCACTTAATGATAAGCTGGTCAGATCTAAACGAAATATAAATTTCAAGTAAAAAGAAAATTCTGTGGTTTTTTTTATTTCGCCCTTAAAAAATTGTTAGCTTTTTTAAAAGAAGTCAAATTTAAGTAAACGTTACTTGATACACTCACAGTATATCTTGCTCAAAATAAACAATAAATAAAATTGTCGGAGACAAAAATAAATTCTATGTAAATAACAATAATTTTATTTTCCCCACAAAACTTTTTATACAACAAAAATTTAAAAATTCAAACCAATATTCAATTCATTACCGTTAATTAATCACCATGATATGAGCATTACAATTCCTTTTGTTCACATTAAATCACATTAAATTTCGGTCCCATTGTATTGAAGGGACAACAAAATCATTACTAAACTGCGGTTGAATGATTTTAATGATTGCAATTTAAAATTTGCCGCTAAATATAGAAATAGCGATAAATGTAACAACACAAAAAAATACTAATCGTTACAGGAACATGCCATTTATGTAAAAGAGGCTTTTTATACCCGTACGAACGTATGTTCGAAGGGTATACTAAATTTGCCTTACCGTTTGTAACGCTAAGAAATAACGGTGTTAGATATAGACTCAAGTGTATGTTTTTGATCAGCGTCAAATTCTGAGTTGATTTAGCTTTGTCTGTCCGTCCGTCCGTCCGTCCGTCCGTCCGTCCGTCCGTCCGTCCGTCCGTCCGAACGATAACTCAAAAACTAATTGAGCTAAGTTCATCAACTTTTCACAAATGATTTATTGTAGTAAGTGCCAGAACCCTATTTAAATTGGACGTGATCGGGGTACCGGTTCGGGTAGCTGCCATACAACTTCAAAATTTATTTGGCTATATCTCAGAAACTATAAAAGTTGTGGTATTGAAATTTCACACAAACGAATATATTAATAGGGCCAATGTGTCTCATAAAAGTCGTTGAAATTACTTGGCTCCTTCTGGTACCTGCCATACAACTTCAAAATTTATTTGGCCATATCTCAGAAACTATAAAAGTTGTATTGAAATTTCACACAAACGAATATATTAATAGGGCCAATGTGTCTCATAAAAGTCGTTGAAATTACTTGGCTCCTTCTGGTACCTGCCATACAACTTCAAAAGTTATTTGACTATATTTCAGAAACTATTAAAGCTATGGCATTGAAATTTCACACAAACGAATATATTAATAGGACCAATGTGTCTCATAAAAGTCGTTGAAATTACTTGGCTCCTTCTGGTACCTGCCATACAACTTCAAAAGTTATTTGGCTATATCTCAGAAACTATAAAAGCTGTGATATTGAGATTTCGCACAAATGAATATATTAGTAGGGCCGATGTGCTTGATAAAATTCGCTAAAATTTCTTGGCTCTTTCTGGTAGCTGCCATACAACTTCAATAGTAGTTTGGCACAACCAGTATTTTGAAAAACACATAGAACTGAAATTTTGCATAAATTAATATGGTAATACGGCAACTTAAAGTCATAGTCTGCCCCATAGTTAGTTATGGCACATTAGTTATTCGCACATAGGATAACAAATTCGTACGGGTATCACAGAGTTGACAAGGTCAACTCTACTTTTTTTCTCGTTTTATTTTAAATTTTTATTATCGTATTCCTCTTTGATACGACAACTTACTTTGGTAGATATTAGAAAAAAAAATCCTTAAAAATTGTGGGTTTTAATGTGAATTTGAATTGAACCTTTTTAAAAAAAATTAAAGAGAAAATATAAGAGGAGACTAAAAATTTCCCATAATACTTTTAAAAGGATTCTTTTTTTGTTGATTTTTAATGATTTTCAAAATACTGGTTAAATTATTATTACCTAGCGTTGCTCTTTCGCTATTCTTTTCTTCGTATTTTAGCGAGAAACAACTTAATTGACTTGTTTTTTGCGATTTTTTAACAACCAAAGACCGATAAAAATTAAAAATTATTTTCGCTCACAATACAAAATTGACAATAATAGAAAAGTTTCCAATTTCAAAAAACCATTTATAATTTTTTTTTAATTTTTAATGTGTGCAAATGCAATGAGTTTTTCAGGTTTTAATTTTCTCTCTTCTCTGTTACAATATACTCTATTTATTGGGCAATAATAGGACACAGCGAAAATAAAAAAAAATTGCAAAATTTCAGCGAATTATTGTGAAATTTTTGTTCTTCACCAAATTTCTTCCCGTTATTGTTCATTTTTTGTTGATTTGGATTTTATTTTTTTTTTGGTTTTGCTTTTAATTGAAGGAAAAAGAAGGACAAAGAATCCATATTTGTTGATAATAAAATATATAGACGTAATAATAATTCGTACATAAAAAAAACGCTGTTGTAAAATTTTATTTCCAATCAATTTACTTCATTCGGGAACATAAAAAGAAAAAAACAAAAACAGTACACAGAAAAAAAAACTCCAAAATAAAATCAATAAACAATATTAAAGTCATAAAAAGAAAATGTTTTCATTTTAATTTTGAATTTTTTTTTTATTTCTTTACAAAACACAACAGGATTTGTGTTTTCAGCACAGGATGTTTTCAAGGAAATAAAAGCAACGTTAGGTATACGTGCTAAAAATTCCGTGGCCTCACTAGGCCTTAAAATAAAATTTTAGCGAATCTGTTATTATTTCGTTTGTTTTTGCATGTTTTTTCATCCATCTTCCTGTTGAACTGGGGCACCTTGTGGGGCTCGGAAGGCCGAAATTCTGCAGCCGTGAAAGTGAAACAACCTAGTATTTCCCTTTTCCTATTAAGGAGAGCATCAGACTCCTTCAGAAGGGGTACTGAGGTCCAAAATTCCAGGCCTGTACTACTGAAGTGCTCTTTAAGTTCGCACTCTCTCTGACAAGATCCCGGTCAGAATTCCCAATTGATTCTTGTCCAACCTTGCAATCTTCATAAATCGCTTCTCATAATATCCCAGAAGCTTTTTGGAATGCCGTAGCTCCGAAAAACCTCTCCAGCGTTCCTCTCTCTGATTCCTTCCTTATAGTTCCCAACAAAAATTATGAAATTTATCTTGTACTAAATTTTATTACTACCTAACATATACTTCTAAAACTTTTATTTTTATTCTGAAAAAGTTCTTTGCTTCATGAGAGTAAATCTTAAATTGTCATGAGACTGCTTATATTTTGGGTCGCAGGCGAATGCTTTTGACAAATGGCCAAAGTCGACATTTCACAGCATTCACAATAGCAAATGCTATAAATACATAGTTCCACCCTTGATCACCATATGCATTAAATGCATTTATTTTTGTGAAATTTCAAAATGAGCCTGTACTCTGGTTATAGGTGATTGCGTTATTTTACTTGTATAACTTTCAATATTGTCATTATTACATTTCGTTTCTCTTAGTTTAATTTCTTTTTTTTTTTCAAGGACAAAAAAATAAGATTTTATTGTTTAAGTTTTTTTGTTCAGCAGCTCTAAGGAATCATTGATATTGATAATTATTATCGGAAAGTTTTAAAAGAATTAAAATTGAAATAATTTTTTTTTTGCTTTTCTGTCGCTCTCTTTCTCCCTCTCCGAATGCCTTTCATATAAAAGCAAGTGAAAATTTCATTTAAAATTAAATAAAAGTTTTTTAATTAATAAAATTGTATCGGATCGAATTATCACAATAAAAATTTTAATCGATTAATTGTATTTGTTCGTTTGTTTGTTTGTTTTTTTTTACACAATATACGTTTAATCGATTAAAAGTTTTTTTTTTTACAATATTGATAATGAATAATAATAAGGATTTTAAGGATTTTAGTTGAAAATTTATTTTGTATTTGTTTTTCTTTATGCTCATTATGTTCATTAATTTTAAGTATAGTTTAATGTTTTTTGTAGAAAATTTGATTTAATTGGAAAATAAAATTTTAAATACAGGGGTTTGATCCTTGTCTTTCTGATTACATGAATAATTTCATGTTAAATAAGGTAGTAAAAGAGCAATAGCCATGAAGATTTTAGAAATTATAAGCGTGCTTTAGTTCGGAGTCATTGTACTTTAAAATATTGGGAAAAACAATTCATAAATTTTGAGTATATGCATAATAAGAAAATTTGCAGACGAAAGATTTTCGATTGTCTTTCTTGTATGCTTACATACAATTACATTCGTTACTGATTCTTAATTCCGTTCAAAGAAGACGAACAACCAAGTTTTACATATTGTGGATGAATCCTCAACAATTACTTTCTTCAGTACCCTGTAATCAAAATTTTTATTGACAATTTTTCTTTTTACAAAAAACACATGAAAAATTGTAAAGCAATAAAAAAAAAAGTTTTCTATTTCTATGTTACTTTTTCCTATCAATTTCGCACCCTAAATTCAGTCTCTTTTTTCCTATAAAATATGAAATAACAAACAACTTATCATCTGGTGTTATAGATTGGAATGGTTTTTCTTCCGAAAGATTTTTACTGGTTCTTGAATGTGTTTTCTTACCATTATTATTTTTTATGTATAACCTCATTGATAATTTTATTTATTTTTATCTATTTATCTTCTTCTTTTTTTATTATTATCTTCTCTGTACTTTTTTACATTTATTGTCATCTACATCATATATTTAACAACTCATCAATCTAGGCAACTAGCCATAATATCTCGTTCAACTCGAGGTATCGTACTGCTTCTTTGTAATTTAATTTCTGCTAGAAAAATAATGTCAGAAGCAAAACGCCTTAATATGGCCGGTGGTCATTATATTTGGTTATGGGCCGATACAAGTAGTACAACTGAATTTTTTGATTTAAATCATCATAAATCTACAACATTGGATGAAACAATGTTAGAATATCCAGAGGCTGTGAAAGAATTTACTGTTGTATCATCATCTTCATCATCTATACCGTTATCGGTATCTTCATCGTCATCATCATCATCACAATCTTCGTCCTCTTCTTCTTCAAATTTATATCGTCAATCAATACCATCATCATCATCAATATCATCACCATCTTCAACTATTCTCTCATCATCTGAAGTGTCACCATTGCCTGACTATGATGAAGATAATATTTCAAATATGAAAAATAAAAATTTTCATCATAAAATAAATAATATAGGTATAAATGGTATGAATCTAAATGGTGATGGTATTAGTAATGAAAATGGTTTCTATAATGGTGACATTAAACCAAAATCATTTGATGAATCAATAGATGTGGTTAAAGGAACGACGACTGGTAGTACAATAAATTTTTTTAATAATATCGATAAGGAAAAGGAAGTTATAAATATGAAAAAACAAAAACAGCACGAATCCAGGAAGAATATACAACGTCAAGGAGAAACTCAGAGATTGCCATTTCAGCAGAATAGATTTGAATCAAAAAAATTTCAACAAGATTCTTATGAAGATGCTGATGATGCTATTGCTACTGCTACTGTTACAACTACTTCTAATAAAGATTATAATACTGGTGAAAAAGATATTATAGAAGAAGAAAATGATAATACTGAGAATATTGATGATGATGTTAATGACGAAAAAAATTTAAGTAGTAATGGTAATGATGACGATGATAATGATGATGAAAATTTAAAAAAACGTCAAGGATATAGTCAAGGACCAGGTCGATATGTTATTGGTTTATATGATGATGATAATATTGATATGTCATTAGAATTAAAAAAAAATAAAGCCAATCGAAGATATAGACAACATACCGATGATTATTATATCGATGATGATAACAATAAAGATAGGATGATTCAGAGTAAAAGTGACAGCAATAGTAATAGTTATTTTAATATTAATAATAATAATAAAAATAGGAATAGTAATAGTAAAATATCAGATAAATATTATCCAACTGAAAATCCTTACCTCAGTTTAAAAAATTATAATTCAATGGAAATGAATGAAAATTTTGATCAATATGACGATGATGATGATGATTTAATTGATACAAGTATGGAAGAATGGTTTGAATTACCTGGAAATAATTGGGCACAAATCAATAATGATACAACATCAAATTTATCACCAACTATATTAGATAATATAGATGAAACATCTGATTTAAAATTATCATATGATAGTGTTGAAAATAAAAATATTAATAATAATCAAAATGATAACAACAATAATAATAAAAATATTAATGATAATAGTAATAATAACAGTGGTGCTACACCTATATCCAATTCAAATAATAAAAAAATTAAAAATATTAATAATAACAATAATAGCAATAACAGTAATAATAATAATAATAATAATAGTAATCAAAAATTAAAACCAAAACGTACATCATTTAGTGAAGCGTCACACTATATTAAAAATTTAACACGTTCATCAGATGTTTTATTTCATTATTTTAAAGATTTTCCAGTTGGTTTATTAGCATTACGTCCAGTTAAAATGCCAGTTGATCGTAATTTTGTACGTTCAACAATACGTTTATTTGCATCAACATGGGCAAGAATAACATTTGATAATAATCTACATAATAATATTAATTTAAGTATTAATAATTATCAAAAAAATTATATAAATAATATTAATAAAAATCAAAATTTTCGCCAATATGGCACTAATATATATGACAATTATAATTGGTTTGCATCGGTAAATAGCCGTGAATTAATACGTGATCGTTTAAGAAATTTTTTTCATACCGAATATAAACGCAAACGATTGCGTCGTAATATATTAATTCGTTCAAATTTCATTAAATTTAATAATTTAAATTCAAATCATATTAATAATAATAATAATAACAATAATAAACAAATTATTAATAATAATTATAACAGTAATAATAATAATCATTATAGTAATAATAATAATAAAAATCGTTATATTCGTGAAATAAATTTTAATGAAATTGAAACAGTTAACAAAACTATAAATAATAATAATAATAATAACAAAAAAAATATAAAAAATAATGATAATGATGAAAATTTAAAATTTGATAATTATAAATTAATAGAAATTAGTAGTGATAATGAAAATATTAATAGAATAAATTTAAAAAATAATAGTATAAAATTTATTATTAAGAATAGTAGAAATAATAATAGTAATCATAGTAGTAATAATAATAATATTAATGTTAATAATATAGAAAATTTAAAAAATAAAACAAATTACTTAATAAAGAATAATAGTGGTGATCATTATTTAAACGATAATTATTTTAATATAACTATAAATAATAATAAAACAAAAAATAGTGATCTTAATGAAAATATAAATAAACAATTAATTAATTCTATTAATATAATAAATAATTTAAATAAAACAAATAATATAAATAATAATGATAATAGTGAATTAATAATTGATGATAATAGAAATAAATTAAAATATAAATATAATAGTTCTTATAATCAAAATTTAAGTGGCTTAAATAATTCGCAAAAAACTATAATAAATAAAAAAAAATTACAAAAAAATATTAATTTTGAAAGCAATATTAAAAATAATAATAAAATAACAAATAATAATAATAATTCAAATTTAATACTAGATCATGATAATAATAATAATAAAAATAAATTAAATGAATTAAATAATAATAATAATTTTGATAATCAGCATGTTGTTAATTTTATTCAAAAAAAACAAAAACGACAAAATAATAATTGGTGGTTACCATCAACAGCAAAAGATGCTGCATATAGATTTCGATCACAACAACAACAACAATTACAACATCAATATCAATATCAACAGCAACAACAAAATCAACAATTATATCAACAGCAACAATTACAGCAATTACATCAACAATTGCAACAACAGCAACAACAACAAATGCAAAAATATCAAAATTTACCAAATTTAAATTTAATAACAAGAAATAGAGCGTCTCATTATAGAGGTGGATGTTTTGGTACATCAAATAAAGATGATCTTAAAAGATCTGAAATATTTGCCAAGTAAGTATAGAAATTTTTTTTTTTTGTATTTATATTTTATTGTAGATCATTGTATTAATAATTGAATTAATATTCAATTTAGAAGACTTATTCCATTATTATAAAAAATTAATAAATTTTTTTTGTAAATTTTAAAATTTAATTAAAATGTGCCGTCAGATTTTATTTGATTCCAAGTTGGCTATATGATCAATATTTATTTTTATAATAGTTCGTACTTGCAAATGAAAAATCACTTAAAAATATCACTTAAAACAATAACTTACCGCTTATAATTTTTTTGGAACTTTAACTCAATAGAATAAAATTGTCAATCAATACAACAATGTATGAAAAGCGCCGAAATATTGCTTATCCTGTGCTACAATACTCTTTTAATTTGTCTGATTTATGTTATTCTCCTAAAATATACATGAAAACGGAGTTTTGCTTGAAAGGAAATAAAACCGGTTTTAACATTACGAATGAAAATATTTGATCTAATCAATCAATAATTCTCTGAAAAACCTCTTAAATGGGAACTAGAATTTTAAATATTTCACAAAATATTTATTTAAATTTTAATCCCTACTTTTAATCCAATTTTTATAAAATCTCTAAAAAATTTAAAATTTTATATTCAAATAAAATTTTAATGATCTTTTTTAAATAACCCACTCTTAGTATATGTAGACGAAACATTAATATCGACCACAAACAACATATTATACTTTAAGTGCAATTATTATCCTTTATCAAATACTATCCTTTAACCATATAAATAACCATTATCCTTACTATGTAAATCTCATAAATTTGTAAAAATCACATAATACGTTTAATATTTAAACAGCAAAAATGCTCCGTATATTGCATAAAAGTTATTCTTCTGCAAATATGCTTTCCGTTTTCATTGCTACGAGTATTGTAATTTTTATAGCTTTTTACTTATTACTATTATCAGGGAAACTAAAATAAAGGAGTAATTATTATAATATATTGTGTTTCAATGTTAAGCAAGCTAAGCATAAAGAATGCAAAGTAAATTTTACAATCACTTTTTAAGACTGTTAAATCGTTTTTGAGATCAAGCCAAACACCATAAACCACTAGAAATTATATAATAAATCTGTTTTCTGGACTAACACAGTGTCCGTTAATTCAACGACATACTTTTTGTATGTATTTTTAAGAGTGTATACGTGTGTGTTACTGTAATTATATTTTCTTAAAATTATTTAATCTAGGATTTAATTTCAACTACATCAACTAGTTCAACGTTTTATGGAAACAAAATCGAATAAAATCTATAGAAAATTAATTGAGAGCTTAACGTAAAATTCATCAATCTTCACGATCTGAATCAGTTTATTAATTATCTACACCCGCATACTATCCCTACATCCTAAAAATATTGTTTTCCTTCCGATTCGGAAATAGACGTTTAATAATTCCCTTTTTTTTTAAATTTCCAATTTCCCATTTCACTTGACAAATCTTTTTTAATTTCCACTTTTTTTCTAACAGCTCACGTAATAATTCAATTGAATTGATTCCAATATTTTCAAAAAAAAAAAAAACATAAGGTCAGACTTGAAACATATTAAATCATGTAACAATAACGCATTTCTGCTACCGTATGCATTCGGAAAATAATTAATGGTTTTTTGTGTTAAAGAGCAGTTGGTAAAAAAAAAAACAAATAATTGGGAAACCGATTACACGAAGCACAAAAAATTATTACTAGAAATATTTTTTTGAAAAAAAAAAAAATGCTGCCAAACACGCGATTTTTCTATTTTATTTCTTTTCTTTTATTTTTTATATCTGAAACTCGAAATTAAATAAATGCAAGTTGAAAATGTTGTAAAATTATTGAAATGCAATATTTCACGCTATCATGTACTTTTTTTTTTTTACAAAATTTTGTGACCAAAAAATTCTCTTTTATAAATATATTAAAAAAATCGGATGTGATTACCACATAACCGACCGCAAGTTTAGTTGCTTAGTTTAGCGAAAATTTTACACAAGATTTTAAAAATAGCCTGTAAAAACCTCTTCAAACTACTTCTGTAGTTTACATACCCAGAAAATCGTTAATTTGGTGCTATGTATAGATTAACTTTATGCCATCCAAGTTCCGTGAAAATTTCGTTGGCCACTTCCAGTGGAAAACAGAACTCAAATATTGAATTTTAAGAAATTCTGTTAATTTGTTCCTTAGATATGGAAAAAAATGTGTAATCGGCTCCTAGTATATCAGTTGATTATTTCTCTTTATATATACAAAAATACAAATTTGGTCGGAATAAACATCAAGGTGCTGGCACATAATTTCTTCTTAAAGATAGGTGGTTTCTCGTACTGTCAGTTTTTAGCTTATATATAAAATTTCAGAAAAATAAACAGATTATTTTCTTAGATATAGTCCTGAACGTAAAATCGATCCGTAATAAAGATCCCGAAATCTGATATATCACAAAAGTTAAACAAACCGTCTCATTCTTGAAATAAAATCTCAGTTATAAATTTTCGTAAAAATCGGTTCAGCCGAACTTGACATACTGATCTGCGCAGACAGACTGACAGACAGACAGGCCGACAAAAATATCTCTAAAAAATAGTTTAATAACGCTTTCCTAGCATGGAGCAGTGCATTCCCACCGACAACTCGATATGTAAAATTTGTTGCCATCACATAACTTCCCTTATTATATGCAATGCCGTTGGTAAAAAGGAATGTAGTGAAGCAAATAAAATATTGATCTGAACAAGGAAATGCGATACAGAATTTTTAATTTTACTCCTTAAATTGACTAAATTTTGAGTTGAATTTCTATTATAATTTTTCTATAAGGTTTTTCTATTATAATTTGCCCGAATAAATTTGTTATTGAAAAGTGAGTCACAAAATTACGTGTGTCTTTTATGAGAAAACTTTGAAAAAAATTAATTATTTTCAGGTGCATAAATTAAAATTAATTTTAGTGCCACCACGCCCTGAACAGGGTAAAAGGAAGCAGAGAGAGAGAGAAATTAAAATTTAAATTTGTTTGTAGAGGAATTCTCTTATAATCTATGATCTTCCTGAAATTGTAATTTTTCTGTATGATATTTTGAAAATTTTGAAGAAAAGTTTTCATTTCATTTAATCAATAGAAAGTTTTCTAACTAAATTAGCAACAAATATTTGATAATTTACGTTTTATTTCTCTTAATAACCAAAATTAAATTATAAGTTCTAAATTATCGCTAATAAATTGGACCCTTCATTGTAATGAATTAGATAAATATATATTTCAGATATGAAGATAATTTGTTAATTATTCCAGAACAGTGTTATCTATGCATAAACTTTGATTAGCAATAGTAAATTATCAAATTGAGAGCTATAAGAATATATAAAATATGTTAGGAATGAATACGTATTGAAAAATTTTCGATTACAGTTCGTTTGTCTTCTTCAAAATGCACTTGTACATACACACATACAAGATAATATTACTATGAATTCCATATCCACTAGAAAATATATCCCTCCCTCCCCCCCCTTCATTCTTGCATAAATAATATGGTATATACCTAACTATACATCGTACGATACTTAAAATACATAAAATGTGATTGACTTTTTTAAAATCTCTATCAAATTTTTGGCACTATACTATAAATTCTATTTAAATATTTTGTGTTTATAATAATCTGAAAAATAAATTCTGTCTAATGTTGTACAAATACACTTTAAATAAAAAACAAAAAATTAAAAAAAAAAATATTCAAATAAATTATTTTTTGTCTCCAAATTATGTTTCGTCTCATTATTCTACCATAAAATTTTCAAAAAAAAACGGATAGCAACTATAATTTTATTTATACAAATACAAAAAACAAATAATAAAAAAGCAGAAATAATTTCTGTCTCAGACTGTAGACGGAATGGGCGGACAATGTCCTCAAATATGTTAAGTACAAAAAATCCCCGTAAAAACCAAAGAAAAAAAAAATTTTACAAATTTTATAACCTTTAAAAAAAAAACCATTTATTTTGTATTTTTAAATCTTTGCTAAAGAAAAAAAAAAACCTGGGAATAGTAATTGCTTGTCTGGGCACAGTTCAAATCTTACTCTCTACATATACCTATTCGCATACATAAGTAGTTTTACATAACCATTTAATATTTTGACTATAAGATTTTGCATATGTTTGTATAATATTTTTTTATGTCCTTCATAGGATAATGAAAGAAAAAAAGAAGCGGTAAACAAATTGCAGATAAAAATCGATTTTTGCTTTTTTTTTTGCTATTTTTACATTTGCTTCCTGTTACTATTCAATTTATAAAATTTTTTTTTATATATTCACGTATGTGTGTATTTTATCTACAAAATGTTATACAAAACAATATTCATAAAATTTTATTAAATTTGCTAAAGATATTATTATTTTTTTTTTTTCAATTTTTACGATAATATTTCAATGATATCGAAAAAAAGAAAAAAAAATTTTCGAAAAAATCGGAAAAATCTTAACAACCAATGACATTAAGCAAATTCTTCTATGTTATTTGAAGCATCCTTTTTATAATATGATATTTATATAGAAAATGCATAAGGGAATTGTGCCTTAATATTGCACTCAAATCTAGACAAAACATTTAGTGTATTTTAATCCTGTACTATAAAAAATCTCTTTGCCACAAATTCTTATACCATAGAATTTATAAAAATTGAATTAAATTAAACCGCACTTCTGACAGCTCCAACCTGTTAAATTTTATAAAATCTGTGCTAAATTTTTAATACAATAATTATTTTTAAAGAAATATTTGAATTTTTCGTAAAAAAAAATTCATTTATTTCAATTTGCTGTAAATATTTATAACGGGCGACTCTTTTAGTGACATGCTTTGGTGACCTTAAGAATACAAGGTTTGAATTTAATTAAAATACTTAATTTAATTTAAATATGAAAACTTCGACAGCTTATAGCATTGCTGATACAATAAAGTATTTGAAGT